AAGTATTTTATTTTTGTGAAAATATCAATATTGAAAAATTTGTATGTTCTTTAAAAAAATTGAATATGAAGAACTAGCTTAAAGTCAAAACACACATTATCATTACTTAATGAATCCATAATAAATTCATAATTGTACTGTATATCACAAATTTAATACAATAGCTTCGTTTTTTTACTCAAAATCGAGAGTTAGATTATAAAAAAAATTATTGAAAAAATATTGAATTTAAAATAACGGTTCAGATTTTTAGAATCAATTTTCTTGAAATTTTTTTATTTATGATTGAAAAATATTTTCAATTGGTCATGATATCTCTAAATTTTCTGAACTCTACATGATGAGTATAGTTAATTGGAATCATTTCAACATAGATGAAAAGAATAGACGAGACAACTCTCACAAATAATAGTTAAAAATTCAAACAAACAAGTTCTTGTTGTATTATTTCAAAAATGTTACTCAATTCTGCATCTTGCATTAAATTGTTTAACCAGTTATATTGCGATCATTTAAAAGCAATCTTTGTCAATATTACAGGACATAAACTTATCTTTGCTAAGCATATAATTTATCATAACTTAATTGATTTTTATGCAATATTATAGACTTGCATATATGCTGAATAAATTGGCAAACATTTCAATGTACATACATATTTGAACTTTATCATCAGAAGTTTAAAAGAATGTAATTATCAATCTGATCATATGATATCTGCCTAAACAACCTATACGAGGATAATAAACGTTACATTTATTGAAATCTTGTGTGGTAAACATCATTATGCGTTTCCAAATGTAAATCATAATATACATAGTCTTTATAGTAAGCTTTTCTTTTGTACAGTTTTAAGTGTTCAAAAGCTTCAATAGTATATATTTGGCCATGAGATCTTTACTATTATATTAAGAAAAATCTTTGTGGCAGAAAAAAAAAGGGAAGTTAAAATTTTGTGCATTGTTTCTGTATCTCAATTTAGCCGCTTCCAACTGTCAGAAAGTTATGTTTTGAATTTTGAATTTTGACTATTGTTTTTTGATTGTGATGAATTGTAGTGTAAAAAATGGTAATTCATAAAAAAATTCTATAAAATTATGGATATAAATTTATGAAAAAACTAAAATAGCAAAATCTACTTAAACCTTTTTTATAACTAATTTTTGTGCCGATTGAATACTTTACTATCGTAAAATTTATATTTATCATTCTTTGCTTAATTTTGGCCTCAAAAGCTGTGTTTAAAATTTTAGTGTTTTAGTGATTTGGGTGAAAGAATAGAAATTAAAACTTTGTATTCCTTTGAAAATTCTTGATGCAAAGAATGAACATTGTAGTTCAGATTTGTTTCAGTTAATTCAATAACTCAAGCTCTCAGAGTTGAAAATAAAAATTGAAACTTAACTTAGATTTTGAATCGTTTAAATGAAAAAATAGAGAAACTTTAACAATTATTTAAATACATGTTTTGTATCAATAAAATGAAGTGAAAAAAGGCAACAATCTTCTTAGATCTTTGGGATTAATAAAGTTTTAAATTTCAATTATGAGTTATAATATTTATAATTATTTTTCAGTTATAATTATTATTTAAAATAATTTAATATAATAAAAACAATGAAATGTCGTAATATTGAATGAATTCAAATGATTTCTGCATTGATAATTTAATTTAAATTGTTTATAAAATTTTTCAACTTTACAAGCTGACTGAATGTTGATCAACATGGTGTTAAAATATTTTTAAAAATACATTAAAAAATGATTAATATGATAAATAAAAAATGATGGATTGCTTCTCACATTTTGTTTAAATGTGTAATTTTTTCTTAAGAATTTTTTTTATATAAATTTTTTAAATTAAATAAAACAATCACGATCTCTCATGGTTGATTTAACCTCTGCTTTTTAAAATTAAATTAACCTTTGTTTCTTCAATGTCAAGATTCCGAAGTTTTAAGCTTAAGGATCTTGACATGAATAAGATTGATTTTATCAACGATTATTTTTAGAATGATGAGTTTTGTCTTGATTTGATAACTTTCTAAACATATCATCGCTCACATGTGATATTTGTAATTCCTTAAAAATAATGGATGTTCATATAATTTGTTGCATTTTAAAATGATATAAAATAAAATCATTGTACTATCAGATATATGATATATATATCATAACAGAGGTTTTGGATTAAGTGTTGGTTTGCGACTTGGGTTGATTTTAATCATATCATATTATCATCTTGTTTAATGACGAATGATTATCATTGTATTAGTTGTAGTTAGAGCTCTTACATGAAATGGGAGTGTATATTTGATAACGTTGATCATATATTTGATACAATAACATTGTATTGAAATGTTTGATGACTTTGTCACATTTGTAGTAAGTTTGTTCTTTCTTGTAGAATCAAATTTTTCTGGAACTTTTTTATAGACCATTATGGATAGCTAGGTTTCATGGATTTGGACATCATCCACTAAAGAACAATTGATCAGTGTTTTCCTATTCGAATGGTAAAGAATTATGGAACTACTTGACTTATATATTTGGAATAGGTTGGGTACAGTAGTACATGTCTTCCATTGTTGTCATACTGGGATCTAGCCGCATACTGCCTCTTGACTTCATACCTTTAACACTTCACGAGTTGCTTCCATCCATCTATTCGATCTTTCTTGCTACGTGGTTAAGTTAGAGTAATTCAGTTTTCGAACTATGCAAACAATTTTAGTAAATAAGCTCTTGTATCAGAAGATTGATCACCTCGCCATAAGAAGACAAAAAGCAGAGATGAAATTTCTCGGCGCAATGAACCCAGTAATAATCCCGAGCAAGTAAAAAAGTTCACATAGCGGAAGCACGGGTCCGATTTAGGGTAGATGTGTGTTTTCCAGCTAGGCGACATTAGTTACAAGAACGATCTTGTTCTCATGCGGAGAACATCTAGTCAGCATGCACAATGTTCGAGATAAGCTGCAGAATTCACTTCGGGAAGTCTTCCAGTCAGCAGGCAAATAGTCTTTACATCACCACTTACTTACGTTTCAACTTAACTCCCGAATAAGTTCAGTAAGAATAAGTAAGACATTCGAGGCGACCGGGCACTTTCCCCGGGAAGTTCAAGAGAAGTTCTTACACGATACGAAACAACCGAGATAGAAGAACTTTTCCAGTGCCAATAGCCTTCGTCATCATGCATAAAGTTCTTGTATCCGGAAAGTCCACCCACGGCAGAACGGTAGAACCGTAGAACCTTTTGGCTGAGCTGATAAAGGTCATAAAGTTCATCCAAAGGCGGGGAAGCCACTTTTAGCGTAAAGTTTGAAAGGACGGAACAAAGTAAATTGGGAAAAAGGATGGGGAGACCCCGGAACCGTAAAGTGGCAGATGTTCCCTCATGGCCATACGTCATGCCGTTGTATCGAGTCGCTGGAGTCACAGTCGGGCGTCTCATCCGAGCGCCTTTTGGGCCAGCGTTTGTCGACATTGTTCTTGTACGACGCGGCGCCCGTTCCTCATGGTGCTTGACGTGTCCTCATCCTCTGGCCCCGTCCACCATCATTGCCCTTGTTTTTTTCTAATATTAAACTATATTATCATATTAACGGATAATGCACGACTTGATCTCTCCGTAAAGAGCATGTTTTGGAGTTGGTGGTGAACTTTGCTTTCGACACCCGAATGTCAGCCATGAGCCGGAGTTTCGCTCCCACTCAAATGAACACCCGCAAGCGCTGCGTCGTCCTGATGTCCTCATCGGGTTTATGCGAATCCTGGCGACATGATTCGGCATCGAGAATGGCAAGGTTTGCAATCACATGCTTTGTATCATTCGTGGTTCGTTCGAGTGTTCGCCGCCCTCCTGCAAATTAAATTGCAATCGCGCGGCACATGTTTAGAATATATGTTTCGTGAGTTGAAAATATTTTCTCCAGGTATGAGTTCCAGTTCAGGATTATTTAAACAGCACGGAATGAAATGGAATAAAGCTAGATGTACCTTTGAAATGCATGCTTTTTCTGTAGTGTATTTTCAAGAAATGTGCGCATGCACATTTCTTGAGCAACTGTTTTAGAATTCAAGAATTCTCCGTTTCATATGATAAGGATGTGAGAGGAGGACCCAATCGAGAGTAACGAAAACGAAGGTTTGATGGAGCATGTATGGTGTGCAGAATTCTCGAGCTGCGGAAAGCATGGCTTTCAAGTTTTAGCATAAGCTGAGTTCTTGTCTCGTCAAATTGATCTTCGGCGAATGAACACTCTTGCTCATGCGGTGTTCCAATTGGCAGGGCTATGTTCTCCTACAGTGGCTGAACGACGTAAAGTGCCCTCATTGGTCGGCCACTCCCATTGGCTCCGCAGTTACAACCGGTGAAACCAATGAAATGAAGTAACTTGCTGGAATATAAGATGGAAATAGCAGCTGAGAGGTACACCTGCCACCCGATGCACTAGCCATTAAGAAGCCCGGTGAGAAAGCATCGGGCGAGAAAAACTACGAGCAGTGAGTGGATCATTGACCGAGTTACCAGCGAGGCTGGGAAAACGGGGAACAGGTCAAAATGGCCAAGGGACATCGTAACAGCATGTTGATGAATGGTCCACTACATGGCGCTACATAATGCAGTTCCTGCTGTACAGAGAAGAACATACTGTAGGAATCAAACAAGGCGAAATTGAAGGATCCAGTAACAATGGAGAGCGTTCCCAATGAAAGGGTGCCATGTAAGGTGCTATCCGGTGTCTCTATTATGAGCTTCTCATGTACGAATGAAAAGCCGGGGCCTGGGCACGGTTTCTGTCTCATGCCTCGACCACTCTGCCCGCCCTGGCTCGGGCAGTTGCCTTGTCCCCAAACATTTCACCGCTGTGCCCGCTGGCCATCTCCGATGTGCCGGCTGGTGGCACCCCCGTCCCCCTTCCCCTTCCCTCCATCGCTCTCCCTCCCCCTACGCCTCCCCGTTCTCCGGCCCCTCCACCCCCCCTTGCCCCTCTCCCCCCCCCCCCTCCCCGCCCCTCCCCAGCTCAGTATGCTTGTGTGAACTCGCTCTCTTAGTGGCTCACTCTTCTGTGACTCCTTAGGTTTTTCGTTCCTCCGGTCTCTTCCTCCTCTCTTTCCTCTTTGCATTTCTCTGTGTCTCTCTCCTCTCGCTGCTTCTCCTCCCGCTCTTCCTCCGGTGGTCCTCCCACTCTTCTTCTTCCTTCTTGCTGGACACAGTCACTGCCTCCGCTTTCCGCTTTCCGCTCGTGTTTTCTTCGGCTTTTGTGGTTGTCTTATCGTGATTTTCTCGATAGTCGTCCGTAGTCGCCTCTCCCTCTGCCAAATTTGTTGCGAGTGTTCTGAGCCTTTGAAGCCAGAGGTCTCGAGTGCTTCTCTGCTTCTCCGTGTGTTGTTTGCGTTGAAGCAACGGCAGCAGCAGCTGCAGCTTGCGAATTTGTGAAGGTGTTGTTTCCAGTACCGAATCCGAGAAGTTCGAGAGCGGCGCTATTGCACGCCGGGCCGGAACCAGTTTCGGCAGCAGAGATCGCGGTCGTGATCAGAGGTTGCATCAGGAAGCGTGGGGTGAATTTCGGAAGGCTTCATGATTTGCAGTGGAGTTTGGTCGAATAGTCTCGTATCTCTGGACATGCAGCAGCAGACTCGTCCGTCCGGTTCTACGGAGGTTCGTGGTTGATCGCTAGAGGGTATTGCGGTCCGAGGTTCTTCTGAGGAAGTTAAAGCAGGCGTCTTTGACAGGCACCCTGGAGGCGAGTAGTAGCAGTGGCAGGGAGGTGAAGGGCGACGGTTAACACCGGATTGAGTCGAGCGCGTCGGGGTTCTCATCGCTACTGAGGCAGAAGAGGTCTTGTCTTGAGGAAATCCTCAGGAGACATTAGCTCTCTGAGGAAGCCGATCTGGTCGAACGATTCTCACGTGTTCAGAACGAGCTTTCTGGTTTCTCTTACGTCTAAGCTTGTAAAGTAGTCGGCAATTTCTCTGGAGATCGCTCTCGAGGAACGATCGCAGGCGCAGGGCCGAGGATTCGATTCCGGATCCACCAGGCAGAGAAGTTACAGCAGCTGATCGTCGACACATGCAGTAGCGGAGGATTCTGTGAGCAGGAGGAGGCGGACGAGGAACCTGCCGGGAGAAGCAGAGGTAGTGCAAGCGAAGTTTGTGAGTTAGAGAGGGAGGAAAAGGGGAAGGGAAAGAGTCTCGTGCCCAGAGAGGCAGGAACTTCTAGCTAGTGAACAGAGTATGCCGAAGCCTTGTGATGCATGTCAGTCATCGAGCGCAGTCGTCTACTGCCGGGCCGACGCCGCCTTCCTGTGCGCAGGGTGTGACACCAAAGTCCATGGCGCCAACAAGCTGGCGCAACGCCACGAGCGAGTCTGGGTGTGCGAGGTGTGCGAGGTCGCGCCAGCCGTGGTGACGTGCAAGGCGGACGCCGCCGCGCTCTGCGTCGCGTGCGACACCGATATCCACTCGGCCAACCCGTTGGCCCGGCGCCATGAGCGGACGCCCGTCACTCCCTTCTACGAGTGCCCGGGCCAGTCCATCAAGGTGGCGCACATTAGCGCGCTGGTCGCGCCCCAGGGCGGGCAGGGCCGCGACGACGACGCGGACCTCGACGCCGACGAGCACTCAGTCGCGGAGGAGGCCGCGTCGTGGCTGCTGCCCAACCCCAAGCCGCTGACGGAGAACAACATCCTCGGCGACGACAAGGGCTCCATGGGCCAGGGCGAGATGGGGTCGCTGGTGAACGACGACGGGGACGACGACGATCTCGAGCCTTCATCGTTCCTCGTGCCCAGCGGCGGCTTCAGCCCGAATTCCACCCTCTCGCACAAGAGCGACGGCATGAGCATGAAGCACCACAAGTCCAAAGTGGAAGCCAATGCCGGCGACCTGTTCTCCGACGTCGATCCTTACCTGGATCTCGACTACGCCACCGTGGTCGGGGCCAATCCCAACCTGGGCGCAGACAGTCTCGTGCCAGTACACAGCGACCACCCCGCGCACTCGTCGCCCTCCATGTCCACCGGATCGGGCTCCTTCGAGGGCGAGGCCGTGTGCAAGGCCGGCTATGGCTACGAATCGTCGCTGACTCACAGCGTGAGTCCCTCCCTCCTCCCTCCTCCCTCCTCCCCCCTCCCCCTCCCAACTCTCACCTCCTCTCCCCCATCGCTCTGCATGCGCGGGGCTTTTGTTTGCCGTGGCGGCTGCTGTCGTCTCGTCTCGTGTGATTGGGATGCAATTGCAATGTCTGCGTGCGGCTGGCCGTCGTGACGGTCGCGGCGCAGGGGCAGGGGAGGCAAGACTGACTCTGGTTGTGTGCCAATAATTCAGATGTCGTCGTCGTCGCTGGACGTGGGGATCGTGCCGGACACGAACGCGCTGAGCGACATCTCGACGCCGTACGACGGGAGCCAGGGGCACGGGTTCGAGTTCCCGCCGCGAATGCTGCACATGGCGCAGGTGGAGCCGCCGATGGCGCGCGAGGCGCGAGTGATGCGCTACAAGGAGAAGCGGAAGAACCGCAAGTTCGAGAAGACCATCCGGTACGCGTCGCGCAAGGCGTACGCGGAGTCGCGGCCCCGGATCAAGGGCCGGTTCGCCAAGCGCAACCCGACGGACATGAGCCTGCAGGACATGTACCCGAACGTCCCGGACTCGGGCTTCGGCGTCGTGCCAGCCTTCTGAGCGCGCGCCGCGCCGCGCGCGCGAGGCGAGACGTCCGGCTTGCAATCAAGCTAGACCTTGTGACTTGGTTGTAGTCATTCCACCCGTGAAACTTGTTGCCGAGCCATACGGACTACCAACCAAGAGACTAGTGCAGAGACAAGACTGTGAGAGGTTCGGACGGTCTTGTTCTGAAAGGTGTATCGAGAGGAGCATGTGTCAGTCAGCCCATTTTCTCGTCTCAAAGTGGCAGTCGCGTCCAGAGCAAAGGCTCTGTCGCGGCCGAGGTGTCTTCATAGTACTAAGGAGAGAATGTGTGATTACGTTCCTACTGGACCCAGCCGGCCGGGTTGTCCACTCATCTTCTGCTCGGAAGAGTGTCGTGGGGGGCCCTGCGGGGCTCGATGATGATGGAAGGAAGTATGCCACACACACGCGAAGAGTACTAGCTGGCAGGGAAGGGAGTGCACGGCGGGAGGGAGGGCGAGGCCGGGCCCCGAGCGACTTCGGCTCTGCCCTGCTCCTGTCTCCCGACGTTGCACGAATTGTGGATATTGCCGGGTTTTCTTCCCATCCAAAAGGACGGGTTGCATGCAGCAGGAGGTTCTGGTGTACATGTGGATTGTTCTACTCCCTGGTTGAAGTGGAGTGGTTGTAAGTGCTTTTTATGAGGAATTCGATTATGTACCGGTGAAGATTTTGGTAAGAAGAAGAAGATGACATGTTCCGCTGTCAATATCTCTCTGAGGTGCCCGGGGTGAGAGGAGAGGCGAGGAGAGGAGAGGACAGCTGACGAGAGGGAGAGGGGTGTGGGGAGAGGGGGAGAGAGAGGGAGAGGGAAAGCAGGGGATGATATAGTGTGCTACATCGCTGTGGACTAGGTTGTTTGCGACTAGATTTTTTGTCATCCAGGTGTTTGGAAGTTGGTTCATTTGCAGTCTCTGTTCAACCTTCTGCAACGGACGAACACCTGGCATGATTCTGTACTTCATAAATAACCCACGAAAGAGCTCCAAGCGTTGGAACAGAAACTTAGTAGATAGCACAGCTTAGTTCTATTCTTGTGGTAACATCGTTTACATGATGTATTGCAGTCCGAAGCAGCTCAGCCCAGGTGGCCCAATGGCCAGACCCAATACAATACTCTGGTGGCGGCCTAAGGCCAGACCAATCAATACTCTCTGGCTTGTAGTGGATTGTAAGAAGGTGTGATCCGCCTGTAGTTATGCGTTAAGGATACAACTCCTTCGCCACAAGACCTCATTTGACGACAATTCAAAGATCCAGTGTTTTTAACCGCCACGGTTGTGGTTCAATTTTGTACTCCTGGTCGATGCTTTCTGAATGTACAGTTGGTTTCCCGATAAACCGTCGAGTTTTCTCGCTCTCGTGTCATCATCCGAGCCTTCTACTCTCTGTCCTGGTGTCGTTCACGTCTCTTTCTCGAGTCGCCTCGTTCGGAATTGAGTCTCCAATTCTCCAGTTTGGATTTTGGAGTCCAGCAAGTATTTAATTCTGGACTCCCGCCGGATGGCATGCCGAGATGGCAGCATTTCAATGTGTCAGGAATGTCTGAGCAATCTCCGTGCGGCTTGTGCATCGCCGTCATGCTCGAAGCGTGAACCGTGATACCGTCGACCGGCCTCCGGTAGAGAAGCGCACCAGCCGGAGCCGCCGAGAAGGTGGAGGATGTTATAATTCTGACCGGTCACCGAGCGGGACGTACCGTGCCCAGAGGTGACCAACGACGAGAGGACCCCTTTTTCTTTCAATCCGAGCCCCTTTGCACCGACTGTGATGAGTCACGGTAGAAATTTGTGGCAGAGAGCATATAGCGACCGGGCCCACAGAATGATGAGGTCTGGTTTGGTAGCAAACGTCCCAAAAGCACAAACATCATCTGCAACAGACACACATGCTGACCATGTGCGGAGAAAAGGACCAGGTGTAAAGGCACTCGCTCTCGGGCATTATCTGCACAGCGGGAGAGGAATGCCGAAAGCGCTCTGTTTTCATCGTAGTTAATGGAAAGAGGAAAGTGGCAGAGGAGAGTACAGCTGAGAACCGTTGAGAGGCATTGAGAGAGCCAACGCAATTTGGAACCGCCCCTCAAGAGGACAGAACAGTGTAATCTTCAGGGAAGGGCTGTCATAAAGTCTCACCTCCCTGAGCCATAATTCAGTATTCAGTAGTTTTTCCTGTCCTCGCTTGGTAAAAGAGGAAATCGAATTCTACCTATGTTTACGATTTTCGGAACTAAGCCATGAGAATGTAAGACGTATTCGATAAATATACACCTAGATGGATAAAGGCTTGTCATTGCAAACACGACTTGACATAGAACTGCCAACCACTGTATCGTTCTTATTGATTCAACTGAAAAAATATTTACTTGCAACGTCGTATCTAAAACTTAGGAGATTGTTCTTGCATACATACACAAGAATTCTACTAATAGAGAAAATTCATGGTTATTCTAATATACAAACTAGAAGCCATGTGTAGAGAAATGTATACAATATACTAAAGAATATAAGTAAATAAATAATAATAATAATAAATTTATATTAGCAAATCAGTCAATTTATAGTAAGTAAGATGTTACTTCTGTGTCTATCATACTATTGAAGACAGATACCTTAGAGAGTTCTATTCCCATCGGAATGTATCTATGAGCGTGAATATTTTATTCCATCCAAAAATATTCACACCTAGTATATGTAAATATGATTTACGCAACATTTACTTAATCTTCACGTCTTAAGAATAAGCATGCACACCCTTTATCATAAATTAATTGAAAAATTATTAAAAAAAGTAGATTATGGATAAACTGTGGATCAATTAAGTTCTTGCTAGACCAAAATCATAGAGATTACTTGTATAATAAGGAATGACTATATTCAGGAAAATTCTAATAGTGATAAAATTGTGAGCTGAAATCTAGAAAATATAGTAATAAGAGGCCTAATAACATTAGATACTACGGAATCCACAAGGACAAAAATTATGCATTGCTAAAATTGTGGATCTATTAAGCTAGATTAAAAGCTTCTAGTTTAATTGGTGGAAAAATACGAAATGACAAATGTCATGTTGTACAATTGGAACAAATCACCCATAACTTTTTTGTTCATTATGAAAATGATCAGATTGCACAACTAGCAAAAATGCAAAACTTTTATTCTACTTGAATGATAACCTTAAATGTCAACACAAAGTCAACAAAATTGTATCCGAGTTCTTGATTTCATGTCTTAACTTTGAAGTTCAATGATTCAATGATATGACCGAAGATGTGGATTGGGCTGTGATAGGTGTGGAGATGAAAAAAGAAACATACTCAGTATTGTGGATCAGCTGTGTTAAAAGAGAGTATGTCAAATCAGACAAACGAACTCATCAATGAAGGAAGTCAACCTACATGGAATTAAATTCGACAAGTGACTAGTCAGCATGAGACTACTCATTTGAAGATTAACAATGGACCTTGACCCTTGAAAAATAAATTACTCGAGTGAAAAGCCATATTTAATATATGGAGAAAATTTGGAACTGTAGAAGTATCTTGCGGGAAAAAATAAACGAATATGATATCTCTAAACTCTAGAAAGAGAAATGTATCGAGAACACCAATAAAATCATTCTAGGTTTTTACCTACAAAATAACCTACTTCCAACCAAAAATTTTCATCCTCTATTTGGGCTCTCCAGTTTCAGAATACATATGACATGAGATAAATAAATAACAAAGCCTTTAGCTTCAAATTCTTTTTTATCGATATAAGACTAACTGGAGGACTAATCGGACTATCTATCTATTTTGAAATGAAACAACTTCATGCAGGAGGAAGAAGATCGGGCGAACGAAAAGCATGTCAAGGACTTCACGACCTCCATACAAATGACGTTAGTAGGTTGACTGTAGGCATCTGGACTTTTTTGGTGGGAAGCCTGTGACCAAAACTCCAAGAATTATTCACCTAAAGAATGTGAGCCCTCAAAGAACTCTTTGACTCTACTCTGTGAAGAGCCTTTTGGGCAGACCACGAGCTTCTGCAAAAGTTTCGAGATCTCCTTTAGCGAGATGTAGATGGCCTCAATTTCTCATTAGATTGCATGTAAGAAGTCAGTTCTTTTTGTTCTTTTCTTCTTTTATGAGTTGTAAGTAAAGAGTATTGTCGTGACTTCAATAGAGCCAATCAACCCTTAGATCTTTCACAAATATGAAGAAAGTAATTCTTGACAACTTCCTTTGTGTGTGACCTATGTATTCATATTTGAAGGTTTTGTTTGTGTATCAACACACACGAATATTATCCAATATTATCATATTCTGAACAGACTCATCTAATATCCTTATCTTTACCTCAGTAACTACTATCCTAGTCAGCCTTCTCTGTAGATAGGTCAAAGATCTTATTTCACCTGCATTTGTATGTTATAAGTAAAAATGCATACAATGTGTGTGTGTGTGTATAGTAACCTGCTTTTAAGATAGCAGCAAGTCTAGATGTTCTTTTGATCAAAGTCATTCTTTCGAATCCAGGACTTTCGAATCGTTGTCCCATTTACTACAAGAGATACTCTTCATTATTGTTGCCAACCATGACGAGGTTGTGACCCAATAGTCTAGTCAAGTGATCATAATAGACATGAAATATAATCAATAAATCAATAACGATTGTAATGTAACGATCACATTTTTTTCCCTAGAATGCTGAAAGTTTTACTAAGTGTGTAAGGGCTCCCCATGATCACATCCTGTGGCTTGCATGGCAAGACAAATATATTATAACAAAATGAAATCTTCCCCTTCAAGGGTCAGAACAAGACCGAAGGCAGTACCTGAATCATAAACGAGGAATTCTTTTGTCATCAACTGATGAATGCTGTCATCAGTCGTGGACTTGTTGAGTAATTGACGCCAATTTCATTATCATGCCTTCCTTATGTCTCTAAAGCAGGCAAAAAACGGTCGAGCAAAGTTCGTGTCATTTTGCACTTTTGGGACTAACTATAAGCAGCATGTGCGACCATATTAATTAGGTCGCACATGCGGCAGAAGATTCGCGGATCGCCGAGGACGTTTGAAGCTCGTCGACGATCCGCTGAACTTGGCTACGCTACATGCCCGCAGCACTGGGACGGCAAACGCTCGCGCGTTCTAGGGGTCACTTTTCTCAGCGTGCCGAAGCCTGAAAACATGTTGTGCAATTGAATTTATGCTTTTGGAAAGAGACTCCTGACCATGTGACGTCCGATCATTCCTATCTCCGCAATCATATGTTGCAGCCTTGGAGAGCCTGTCTTCCAGGAATTTCGTCCAGGGCCCCATGCTCGAAGCCTCATTCAGCAGCACACTACATTTCTCACCGCATATCGCCACAACACTCAGCGGGAAAAAGAGCCTACATGCAGGAAAGATTCACCCGGTCGAGTCCGAGAAAGTAAATCGGGAAGATGGAGGATAAGACCGAGTGACTTTTTGGATAGGACGTGAGTCATATGACATCACTTATCCATTCGTCATGCAGTCACATCAGTTACCACAGTGTCGATTACCGGAAGAGCTGATTCTCGTCGTGGTGTCAAGCATCGATCGATCTCGACAAGGGGGAGGTCCTTCCCGTCGAGGCAGCGAATTAGGGCATCCACTAGGCCAGCCACTCCCCGTACCGCGGAAAGTTACACCTACACCACTGTACCGTACGTCACCGGGAAACTTCCCGGGTAGATTGTCGTGTACGTAATTTGTCTTCATGCGGGTATGGCGACTCAACATTCGCTCGCTCGCCACTGGGATATGGCCAACGAGGCGAGCCGTGGTTTGTCCGAACGACGTACACTGCGGCAGCGATCCGTCTTACCGCCTCGACTGCGAGGGCGGGCAGCCAACCGCGTTGGCTCGGGTGGTGCGTTAGGGCTGTAGGACGCAATCGAGCGTTTCCAGGCGAGGGAACCAAGCGAGCCCACCTCGCTGAACGTATGACAGCACGTGGTGGCCCGCCAAATAAAATATAATCTTCTGGTTATGGGCGGGGCGAGGCCTACTGCGTCAATCTGTGCTAGCTGGTGTAATAACGACTGCCAGTCCGCTGTAGATTCGATTCTCAGGCGGAATGTCGAGGTTCCCTCATCACCAACGCCGTCACTTCTGATAGAGAGGACTGACCCACTGACTTCGCGCACCCACCGATAGAAAATGGGAGCGAAACCGTTCAGTAACTCCAGAATTTGCAGGTCACCAGTGGTAGCAACCCCAGGAGATGCCGTCCCGGCCCAATCGGCTTTACGCCGGGTCAGAAATTTCTGAATATTCCGATACCTGAATATTTTTGGGAGCATTTTCTCAAACGCATGCGGAATTGCCTTGTTGGGCTTACTTTAGGACATCAAAACAGTAATGGCGGAACTTTCTCAACTCACCGGTTGCCCACTCTCGACGAGGTTGCTGACTCTCTTCGGCTGTACTGCAAAAATGACTCCCTGCTTCTTCTTATCTCCTTATTTGTTTTGCCCTGCCCTGCCCTTTCCGTTGGATGTTACTCTGGCCTCGCCCTTTTTTCCTCCGGACTTCAATGACCCTCCTTTGGTCTTTAATCTGTTCTTAGCCCGGAATCCTTTCCATCGTCCTCTTCGACTTCCGGTCCGTGGCGTCTTAGCCTCCGGACTGCGTCTTAGCCTTCGGATGTACAAAGAGAAAAACCACGGTCCGATGACTTCGGCTGGATCTAAAGGTTCCGATAATTCAAAG